TGAGTAATTAATAATTAAGAAGCACAAGACAAAAATTGTTTGCTGTTATTATATATACAGTATTTTTTATATGTGACAAAAAGTTATGTCAATGATTGGTAAATTGTAATTAAAAGATTAAAAAGTTATGAATCGTTTAAACAGGTCTCGTAGACTTCAAAGTACCAAAAGGTGGATTTTTCTTATGGATTAAAGTACGAGGAATCGAAAATACATGGAAGATGTTAATGCAGCGGGGTGTCACGGATGGCGTTATTATGGCTCCAGGAGCCGCATTTATGAGCGATCCCACGAAAACATGTAACGCCATCAGGGCAAGTTTTGCCAAAGCATCTTACGAGGAAATGGACTTGGTATTATAAATTTATTATTATATATTAATATAAAATTACTAAATTTAAATGGATTTAAATTATGATCATGGGGCTTGAAGATAAATGTGTATCTTCTTAAAAAAATATTTTAATATTATATTAGAACTATCAATTATTAATTAATAATTAATAAGGTTTAGAACAAATATTTTAAAATTGCACATCTGGACATACAATTTAGGATTTAAATAATTTTTTCCTAATTTTCAATTTTATCAATCTATTTTATCGATATACAACATCTAATCTATCGACAGTGAATAAAGTTTCATCATAACACATATTTATCATTTTGCTATGAATTACCTCTTCAATATTTAACGTATATTTATATTCCAGGCACTGGAGCGATTGGCGCAACTAATTCGAATGGAATTAACCGAAAATTATATTGAAAACATTGATACGTGATAATACGAATATTATATATGACTACACGGCTAAAGATGAAGCTAACAATTACAATTTATAATGAAATAGAAAAATCAAACCAAAAATATTATCAATTAAGTAAAAGTCGTTTTGCTATGTGATAAGAGAAAACATATCAAACATCGATGAAGTTGAGTAAGTAATGTTGAAATAAATACATTTCAACATTAGAACGTAGTCTTGAATTCTGTTAACAGAGGACATTGTATGTTAGTAAAACAGCTTTGTACATTACAATTTAACAAAATTTGAACTTAAAATATTTTAAACTAGTTACTTTATTTCGTAATACGTTGCTATACATAAGCTTTCAAAAAGTATTGATATTTATAAGCGCACGCTATTGTTGCTAAAAATAAACAGTTTTATGTAAATTTTTAAAATCATTTTCAGAAGTTGTTACATAACAATACTTTATAGTTACAGTATGATACAGTGAAAACTTGATTAATCTTATGAAATTTTGATAAGTGTGCAACGATTATTAAATATATTAAATTAAATTAAGTTTAATATAATTAATTAATTTTAATATAATTAATTTTTTTAAATCTCGAGTATATACTATCGTTAAATTACGATTATAGATTATCTTTATCTTTCTATTAAAATTTCTCTGTGAAAAAGCGAGAATAATTTAATAACATTTAAAAAATTTTTTAACAATTTATTTTATAATAAATTTTTACTTTCCTCAAAATATATATTTACTTTTTTGTTAAGTAACTTATAAAATATTGTAATTGCAATTAATGAAACGCAATTTATGACTTTATTTTCATTATTTTAATAAACTATATTATATCTAAACATTTAATTAAAGTCTAATGTATTTTATAAAATATTGTACTTAAAAATATAGATAATGCTATTAATGTTGTACATATTATTATTATATTATTAAGTTTATTATATATTAATAAAAATTTTTTGGTAATATTTTATGACTTCATTGTTTATTATAATTAAAACTATAAATAAAATATATAAAAGTTTATTTTTATAAATATTCTATTATTCCTTTTTAAATCATTAAGTCATTTAATAATTTTAATTGTAGATAATAATAATAACCTCTTACAAAATTCATTCCTAAACACTAAACATTATTTTTCCTGATTCTTCTGTGATAATTTGATTTAAAACATGTTATATTATTTCTAAAAAAGTGAAATGAAGGAAATTGAGGATAGAAAAGGGTGAAAATGAGAGGAAATGATTGTGCGAAGATGAACGCGAATAGTGCAAGTAAGATTAGACAGTAAAAGTAAAAGGGGGTGGACTCTCACTTAACGCTAAACATCTTAACTACCAATTAATTTGCCCGAATTAATTTAATCTGTTGCAATATAAGCAAACGAGATCCGTTCTGCAGTCCGCCCGTTTCAGCACTTTTCTTAGCTTTCGTTTATTTTGAATGTGTGTAAGTAATCTTTCAAACACCGTATCCTTTGGTCCCAACGGTCTCGTAGCTCGAATAATATCTTGCTGTTTATTTAGTTAATAAGGATATTAACTAAAGATATTAACAACGCGCAACTTGTGCCGTGTAAGCGTTCTATATGCGCGCCATATGTTCCTTAGAAATATCTACAAACTTCAATGAATCAAATTAACAAATGTACTGAATATGCAAAAGAAGTAATGATAATTTTAATAATAGTTTCGAAAGATACTTATATAAATATTTTTTATAATATTTAAAGTTTAATTGCTAGGCTGTGAGAAGCAAATTTAGAATATAATTTTTATTTTTTTTTAATAGTTTATCTTTATTTTCTCTTTCATATTACCTTTTATTAAATTTAATAATTTATTTTCGACATATTTTTATCTCTGAGTAATAAAATCAAGCAAATGCGCATACATGATAATAAGTGTAAAATAAGTGTCACAGATTTAAGAGAACGAGCTTGTATCGAAGCGCAAGTTTGTTTTTTCACATGGTGGAAAACCATGAGGATAAACACATAACCCCTCGAAGATATAGTGTATATTAAAAGACGTTTTGCGGCGCTGCTGGGGAGTTGCACGGATATAGCCGATCATACGAATGACCACATTTTCGAGAGTGGGATTTGAAGAAAAAACCAGAAACCACACTTTCGTTTTTTCGTATCTGAATCACACATTGAACGTGCTATAATTTCCATTGGGTAATATGAACAAACTCATTTATCTTTTTCTTAAATTTCTTATTTTAACCTCTTAAATTTTCTAATTTTATAAAAAATAAATTATTAGTTTTCTTTTATACGAGCATCCCTTCATATTTATGCTTATGCGAGAAACTTTTTTCTAAAAATTATAAAATTCTAAAAATCTAAAAATTATTTGTTCAAAAATTACTTTGAAATTTTTTAATCCGATAATATTTTATTATTTATCGCGAAGCAAATTTAATCTAAATTTTTTATATTAATATGTAGTAATTTGTTAGAAATTTTTAACGAAAGAAAGTTCTCTAAGAACCTCTCCTTTTTCTTCCTTTTTCTTTCTTTATTTTATTAAATTTTATTTTATTACAATCTTAATTATTTAGAAAATATATACAACATTAATCAATAAAATAATTTCTTAATTTTTTATAATTTAATTGCATATTTGAAAACAACAATTCAATTTTAAACAACTTTACTTTGTAACTTTTAATTTTGTTTCAAATTTACACGAAGATTTTAAGATTAACTGATTAATATAGTGCATGGAGATACTGTCTTACATAACACGAGCGAGATACTTTCTCTAGCCTTTTTTTTCCAAATATTAATATTTTAATTAGCCGGAGGGTTCCAAGCATCTTTTTAAAAGTAGACCTGTAATTTATCCCTGTGTCTTTACAGTAGCGATCCGATATAACGGTCGCATAGATGATAGAGGCTCCGGAACCAAGGAAGAACGACAGAGGGCGAGAGAGAATTCTCGTGATCCGGCAGCGCGTTCTTAGTCGCAGCGAGTGCTCGTGGGAGCCGCTATCGTTTCCGTCTCACCGAGGTTCGCCGGCGGCGCGGCGCTCACCGCGGGAGCTGCCGTCGAGGGGGTTATTCCCTGGGGGTGGGTGAGATCGGTGAGGTGACTCGGGTGGAGGCGGGAGAAAAGGCATAGCACACCAGACTCGTGGGTCGGTCGGAGGGATTCCGTGGGGTGAGGGAAGAGCGGAGGGTGAGAGAAACGGAGGGACGGTGAAAGAACCGGGAGAAACGGACGGGATGGCGTGCCAGGGGGGGGGGGGTGTGAGAGCAAGACGGGAGCGAGGAGGGGTCGGCAAGGGTGCGCGAGGGGTAGTGCAGTTTCGTGTTGGCATTACTCTTGATTTCCGTGGTGACGTCGCTACCTCGCCAGCCCTCTCCCTCCCGTCCCCCTCCCCCCTACAATCCCGTCGCTACCCTCCTTTTCCTCCTCCTTCGCTCCTCCACCTTCGACGGCCACCAACCTCATCGCCCCCTCGCCGCACTTCCGTGTCTTGTGTTTTGCCATTTCAGCGCGCGAAGGCCACCCACCCCTCGTACTACAGGGAAAGAGCACCCACCCAGACTATCTGGGAGAGATAGATCCTTCCGCGCTACCCTATATACCGTCCACGGTACGAACATATCGCGTCGGATGATATTTCTCCTTCTCTTGCCTTTGGACTCGACGTGGCCGTTCGCCGACGGTCAGCCGGCCATGGAAAAGGACGGGTATTATGTCACGCTAAACATTCTCTTCTTTTGGGGTAACGTCAGAATAATAAAACAAGTATACTATATACCGAATTATCGCATATTTAGAATTTAGAGAGAAGATTTAAATCAAAATTACAAAACTTAAAAAAATTTAAGTTAATATTCTCTCTTTGCTCCTAAGAGCTTCTAGTCGAAACGTTTGATGCCCGATGTGAAGATTTATGATCGCGAAATCTTGAAATCCGAAATCCCTTGCCCAACGTACAGAAAACAAGCGGCTATTTTAACTCCGTGGAGACAATCCGATGTCTCACGAGCGCGCGGGCTTTTATTGTCTTCGGCTGATATCTCCGTCGGCGACGTCGGCCACCGGCAGCGGGAAACCAAGAGCCGTGGCCATTATATCACGCGTAAAAATTTCTGCTTTACGAAGGCGGGAAAGGGATAACCCATCCCCGAGCTGTCGTGCGTCCCGAGAAACAACGAAGGGTGGTAGGTATGTATCTCCCTACCTACGAGCTCCTATCTCTTGTCCGCCACCGTCGTTCGTTTTCCTAATGTCGGCCCGGGAGGGACGCGTGCTGCGAAGCTGGCTTGTTTGTCTCTCGCGGTTACGTATGGGCTTCCTGTTTTTAAATCGTAGCCGATGTACGACAAACATGTCTACACTCGATTTATATTACGACGTGCAATCCTCCCGTCAAGGCGATACCCTTCGAGATACGTTTGATTGAGATATCGATTATATTCTCTTTTTTGTTTTTATTACCGTGTATAAATTCACGTAGAATATCACAATTCGGCTTTGGATAGATAAACGGTATTACGCTTTGCATTAAAAAGTTGAAAAACGACGCCAATAAATAAAATCGTTGGAATGTTTTGTGCCAAAAAGATGTATGATATTTTAGCGTGTGTTTGAATTTTTCTGTTTTTACTTATTGGCTCTTTTTGCCTTTGCAGATTCGGCTATAGTTATATTTCTATAGTCCGTATAACGAATAAATCGACATATAATGTCAGAATCAAAATTTATTTACTGTCCGATGACAGGAATCTTGAAACGAGTTGTTTATATCAGTTTTATTTTATAACTGTTAATGGACTTGCACAGGAATATTATGGGAACTGTGTGATGAACGAAGCGAACATGTGCATATTTTATCGAACTATCCCGTCCGTACTATATGATGAAAATATCAAAGTATAGGAATTACATAAGCAAAACAAGTACTTCAACTTGCCTAATGTAGAGCGCATTATTGGACAGAATAATGACACGCGCGGTTTCACTTGTTTTGAGAAAGAAAAGGCAAGTTTGTACAAAAAAGAGAGGGAGAGAGAGAGAGAGAGAGAGAGGAAGGGGGGAGGGAGGAGAGAGAGAGAGTCTAATTTTATGTTTAATATCTATGACTTTACCGCACATTGTTTTTCGATACAGAATAATATCTCCATATTTATTTTAGTCAGAGTACATCAAATGGTCACGCGCGCAAACTGGCATACGTCAAATTTTATTTTCGCTGACTATTATTACCAAGCTGTCGAAAGACTTAATTATGTGTTGCTAGCGTCATTTGCCTCATTCTTTCTCGTGAGGTATCTCAATGCTAGTCGACGAATTTATATCTCCTGTCCTAAAAAAAAAAAATCCCCCGAGGGTCCTCGCCGACAGCAGAGAGCGAAGTCACGGCCCTTCACTTATT